TCACTTCAAGTACTTATATTATTAAACAACTCCAAGTACTTATTATATCATTTAACAACATCAATTACTCATTACTTCATTAGACAACTGTTGTATTATTTCTCTGACAAGTAGATTCAGTAATTATTACACACGGTCAAATAATACTGGACCCTCAGGTCTTACTTTTAAAAGTAACAAATTACATCTTCAATTCTTGGTTACAGCATTTAACAATCATTATAATATTCCATTGTCACTACAGATGGTTGACAATATCCCACATCAAATTATAATATCACGTTCTACCGGCATGAACAACATGGTACGTTTCCTTCAGTTCATGTACTCAACTCACATAACATATTTCCTGGTACTATTAATGGTTATGGGTTCACTACTTAACCTGGGATTTCCATATTTCTGTTAGTTAATCCCTCAATCAAGATACAATAATACTTAGGCCCATGTAACTGTGAGGAGTGCCCCAGGGTATATAACACTGGTGTCTCCATAACAAATGAAGATCGCTGTTAGGGGTCAGTTGTAGACTGACACACGCCAAGGGAGCTGGGGCCTGATTTGCCGGAAACGGACTTCACAGTTAACCTGTCGAATTAACGGCATCGTCCAACCCGGCTACCGATCCACGGTAGCCAATGGGTATTCAGCTCAACACACTGGCCTAGAGATACGTTGAGGAAGAGTCACGAATGCGTAAATGCCTAACTTCAACTATACAAAAACATACGTCTGGCAACGATGCAGACGACACTTACTTTATATTAATCCTTTCACTGGGTAAATGACAATTTCACTGTTACAACATGAACACTGATATTCACAAAATTGACTAAGTTAAACTGAATTAATATGGCGGCGGGAACACTAGATCACATACCTGAAGATATGTTGAGGAAGAGTCACGAATGCTTGATTCTCCCTCGTGCAGTGGTATATACGTGCAATCGCTGGGCAGCTCTGGCCCACGCATTCATACCAGAAAGGCTGATCTCAGCAACAACAGACCCTCTCTACCATTTTGGATCGCTGTATACTTAGTTATGAACTTCAGTGTTCCTGATCAGGGTAATTTCTTATGTCTATTCATATAATCTAATCAGAGGTTGAGCTTGCCAAGAAAAAGTGGAATATACACTTTGATAACATCAATTCTGCAAGCGCAGGGCTGCTGCTAACAAGGAACTATTCACGGGGAGGCGTTAGATCTTGCAGATTATACAGGTTGACAGAATAGTTCAGGAGATTAATGACTTTCTTAAATAGACAACTGACAAACTCTAAACTACAACCATCAGATTCTCTGATGTTTGGGCAACAAAATAATCTGACTTCAGTACATAAGAACATAAGGACATGAGAATGGAGGAAACTGCAGCAGGCCTATAGGCCCATACTGGGCAGTCCCGTTTACACCCAACCCCTATTGCTCATATAAGCATCCAACCTATGTTTGAAGCTATTCAGCGTATTCGAGTTAATGATGATATTTGGTAACTTGTTCCATTCATCCACTACTCTGTTTCCAAACCAGTGTTTACCTATTTCGAGCCTAAATCTAAATTTGTCTAATTTAAAACCATTGCTACGAGTTCGCTCCTGGTTGGATAGTTTGAGTACCTTTGTAATGTCCCCTTTGTTTAGCCCTGCCTTCCACTTATACATCTCTATCAGGTCGCCCCTCGCTCTACGTCTCTCGAGGGAGTGCAAATTAAGATGCTTTAACTTGTCTCTATACTCAAGGTTCCTAATGCCCGGGATTAGTCTTGTCATTCTCCTCTGAATTCTTTCCAAGGATTCTCTATCCATTCTGTAATACGGTGACCAGACCTGAACTGCGTAATCCAGGTGTGGTCTCACAAGAGCAAGATACAGTTTTCGGATGACCTCGCTAGTCTTGTAACTAACACTCCTTTGTATGAACCCAAGTACTTTATTAGCCTTGTTACGAGCAAAAACACATTGTTTACTTGGCTTAAGGTTCCTACTTATCATTACTCCTAAATCCCTCTTGCAGTCGGATTTCTCTATGGTATCGTTGTTCATCTGGTATCTGGTTTCCCTGTTTACATCTCCTATACTGAGTACTTTACATTTGTCCACGTTTAATTTCATCTGCCATTTTTCAGACCATTCGAAAAATTTGTTTAGATCTTCCTGTAGTTTTGTGGAGTCCTCGTCAGATTTAATAACACGTTCTATTTTAGTGTCATCAGCAAATTTGCTTATGTTGCTGTCTATGCCGATATCTATGTCGTTTATGTATATAATAAATAATAATGGTCCAACTACTGAGCCTTGGGGAACTCCACTTGTGACGTTGCTCCAATGGGACTTAGTGCCATTAATGCTCACTCGCTGTTTTCTGTCCTGTAACCACGCCCTAAACCATTTAAGGATATTACCTTTGATGCCATGTGCTTCTACCTTTCTAATTAGTCTTTTGTGGGGGACTCTGTCGAAGGCTTTGCTAAAGTCGAGATATACCTCATCATAATTGTGCCCCTCGTCCACCGATTCGAAAACTGATGAAAAGAATGTTAATAGATTAGTTAGACATGAACGTCCGCTTGTGAAGCCATGCTGGGAATCATTGATCAATCAGTGCTTCTCCAGGTGATTTCGAATAGAGTTTGAAATGATTGCTTCCAGTAATTTGCCTACTATTGATGTTAGACTGATTGGGCGGTAGTTAGAGGATAGTGATCTATCCCCCTTCTTGAAAATCGGTATTACATTCGCTATCCTCCAGGATTCTGGTACTACACCTGTTTTTAAGGACATGTTAAACAACTTTGCTAAGGGCATACTAAGCTCTTCCTTACATTCCTTTAATACTCTGGCAAATATCTCATCGGGACCCGGTGACTTATTAGGCTTTAGTTTGTCTATTTGCTTACTAACATCGTTACTAGTCACTACTATCTCGCTTAATTTGTTTTCTTCACTATCTCTGAATAGAGTCTGTGCCCCGGGTATCATGTTTAAATTTTCGGTGGTGAAAACTGTTGAAAAATATTTATTCAAATTATTGCTCATTTCTCTGTCGTTATCAGTGAGCTCGCCGGTATCTGACCGCATTGGTCCAATCTTTTCTCGTGTTTTAGTTTGATACATTTGGTAGAATCCTTTGGGGTTTGTCTTCGCCTCCCTTGCTATCCTTACCTCATTATTCCTCTTGGCTTTCCTTATCTCGGTTTTAACCCTACTCGCCAATACCCTATAATAATCCTGGAGGTAAATTTTGCCACGCTTTATCCTTCTACCTATAGCCTTCCTTTGGCCAAAGATGTTCTTTAAATAATTATTTATCCACTTAGGGTCATTGTTGTCTGATCTGAGTTTTTTGTATGGTATGTTCTGCCTTTGTGCATTAAGTAACTCATTATTTAAATTGTCGTGGAATTCGGCAATCTCAGACCTCGTTATCAGGTCGGTGTCATCTGTCAGGTTCACGGCCAAGCGTGACACCCCCTCTCTCAGCTGCCTCTTTAAACTGTCAAAGTTTGCCCTTCTGAAATCTGGTACTTCAGTGGAATTTTCCTTACGTCTGCCCTGAAAATCTAACTGGAATCTAATTTCTTTGTGATCGCTGTTTGCAAGTTCGTTCCCTACCTCGACATTGCTAATGAGGTTTTCTCTGTTTGACAGAACTAAATCGAGTATATTATTACCCCGGGTGGGTTCGGTTATATGTTGACTTAGAAAACAGTCCTGGATCGTCTCGAGAAAATCTTCTGATTCTGAGTTACCTGTAAGGTCAGTCCAATCTATTTGGCCAAGGTTAAAGTCGCCTACTATACAGACTTTGTTGTGTATGGAAGCCCTGCGCATTTCATCCCAGATAAGTCGCTCATTGACTCTATCAAGATTGGGAGGTCTATATATTATTCCTGTGATTAATTTTTTTCCCTACCGTCGATTAATTCTATCCAAATTGTTTCTGTATTCCGCTCGGTTTTTAGCAATTGGAAACTCATGGTTATTCTTAGGGACGATACCGCGGTTATTGTTTGTACTGGCAGACTCAACACTCACTTACCTAACCAATGTTACTAACAATAAAGACAGTTAAAGCTTTCAACATCACTCACAAAGGATCTTGTATGCTTTAACTGTAATCGATACATATCTAAGTTGACTCAAAACAAGGGTGTTCTCTCTCACATTAAAATTCATTTTATAGAGGGGTTGGTTTTAGTAAGTCAGGGCAAACTTTTTCGGAGTGAGGGTTCAGATACATTCAGGAGCCGGTGCATGCCCAGTATTTGACAACAGTGTGTGACAGAGACGTGACCGATCGCCCGGGTGGCTAGCGAGCCGATCTTTTGGTGAAGAAGATAAATGAAAAGGAAAAGTAATCAGAGACGTGACCGATCGCCCAAGCGGCGAACAAGCCGATCAGTGGCGAAGAGGATAAAAGTAAAAAGAGAAAATGGGATAACGGAGGACTGAGGCGTCTTGAAGCAATGAGAAAACGGCCTCCTCACATGGGGGACTCAAACGAAGGCAGAGCTGCATGTTTTGTGGGCTATTGAGCGTAATATGAATCGTCTAATTTTGGCGTTAACTGACGTGTATGACCGTGGTCATTACAACGGCACCGAGTGTGAGCTCTTTCAAGACAAAACTTGACCAATACTGGAGCGGGTTCAGGTACATTCAGGAGCCGGTGCATGCCCGGTACTTGCCAACAGTGCGTAACAGAGACGTGACTGATCGCCCAAGCGGCTAACGAGTCGATATTTTGGTGAAGAGGATAAAATGACGAGGTAATATTAAAGCAATTCATCCAGAGCTGCAAATTGTAAAGACGGAAAAAGTAAAGATACTTTTCTGGGGGTCTGTATGTATCTGTACATTGTACAGTATATCGGCACTATGTATGTAATACATTATTTGTATACTAAACCTGTCTATATACTGTATATACTTAATCAATGTGAACTTTATGTGACGATTTTGATGAATGACTATCAGGAGAAATGAGGGAGTTACAGATAAAGTGAGGTACAGGTAATAACAGGTGAGACTCACAAGAGGACGATGCCATACTCGAAGAGCACACAGGTCGACAGCAGGACACACATGAACATCCAGACGTCCACCGCCTTCACATAGCTCGTCTCAGGCCCGGACTGTCTGTGTGGTGGTGAGGGTTAAGTTCTGTAACACACACACACACACCTCTGTGGCATTCACCTTCATAGACTTCATCAAAGCATTAATTAATCACAACATAAATATCAACAGTCATGGGCCTTGGGTTTAGGATAAGACTGATACCATCCATGGCTCACAGACTTCCAATGGGCATTCTCGCTCGTTGGAAATATGTCGACGATGCCACCTTTGGCATCAGAGTGAACAACTTGGCTCCCGACTACTGCACCCTCCAGAATATACTAAACTTTCTCCAGGTTTGGTCCTCCACCAACCATACCAGGACCATGGTTGTAAACATTAATCTCTTCTCTGACCATGTCCCACAAACACCATGAATAACAGACACACATAATGACAAACACACAGAATGATACAGTCAGACAAACAAAAACAAACAATGACACAGCCAGCCAGACAGACAGACAGAGACAAAAAGACAGACATACATACCTGACAGCCGAGTGCATGGACACGAGGGTAAGAAGCGCCGTGATGACTAGCACCGTCCTGCCTGGTATGACGTCTGAGGGCCAGAAGAGGGAGGCCCACGACACCGCCACGAAGAGACCCGAGGGCAGGAAAGTGGCCAGTATGTGGCCCAGAGCCTTCCTTGACAACACCAGCATGGCCCTCACACACGGTGATTCCGCTGTGAGAGAGAGAGAGAGAGAGAGAGAGAGACTAACAACAAATATCGACGTTTCGTAAATAACACCTCTTTGTAGGCTAACATTCTCCCTCCTCCCCTTCCCTTTGTCTCCTCCCCTTCCCTTTGTCTCCTCCCCTTTTCCTTTCTCCCTTTCATTCATTCTTTCCCATTATTTCTCATTATTCTCCCTTATTTCCTTTACCACTCATTCTTTCTTCGCTTTTGCTACTATCTCCTTTTCCGTTCCTTTCTCCTTCTTACCATAGCCCTTTCTCTCCCTCTTCTTATTTCCTCCTTTCCTCTTTTCTATTCCCCCCTCTTTTTTTACTCTCCGCCCTCCCCTCTCTCATTTATAATCTCCCCCTTCATCTTCTCTTTTCTAAACCTTCCTCTTCTTTTTACTATCTCCCTCCCTCCATCATTCCCTCCCTCTTGTCCCTCCCCCTTCCTAACTGGCTCATATCAGTAACCAGTATTGACATCGAGTAACTTCCACTCTTCTATATAACAATGATATTATCTATATTATTAATGAGTCGTGTGAGATTGATAATTGCATAATGAAACCTTAATATAACGGACTTCTCTCTCCAGTATAATCCGTTAGATGGGGGTTTCATATTCTAATGGACTTTCGATATAACGTACTTTCATCTCTATATAGTTCGTTAGATGGAGGTTTCATATCTAACGGGCATTCGATATAATATACTTTCATCTCTATATAATCCGTTAAATAGAGGATTCACTGTATATACCTCTTGACTATGTACTACATCAGGTACTGTATTTCAATAATTAAAGTCTCACTAGCACCGCACTCACCAGCACTCTGTAATGAATAATAAAACTCTAGTGATGAAGTGACGTAGTAGAGAATGACTTCCAGCAAGCATCGCGTTGAATACATGGCATGGTATTAGTCCCTAACTTTCAAACCGTCATAACAAATAATACGTGTTCCTCTAAACCCGGATATACTGTACTGTAATTTTATGAAGTTTTATGGACTCGTTCATTTAAAAACAACGATAAATATAACAGAATAGTATTATTTTGGTATCTGAAAATCCGTTTAATAATGCGTACTGAGTAACTCTGGAATGGCCTTTTAGGATAATTTACGCGCTTTTTATTCTTAAGAAATAAATACATTATTTAGTACTCTTTCTCCCAAGGCTATCTTCAATGGTGATGAAGATTATGTACTTATAAATAGTTGTTTCATATATTTTCCTTTTTTTTTCACTACGACATTCCTTGCCAAGATAACTGGACGGTAAACTGGTAGATATCATGCTACTAGGAACCCAAATAATTATTTGACCAATTTATTTCCTGTATCTACTGTAAATAATTTTCATTCATAGTCACTAGAATCCTTGAACCGAAAGAAGTTATTGACACCATCCATAATAACACCACCAAATGCGTCACTTGTGTCCTCTGTATTATTATTACAAAAATAAATAAAAAATCGGACAAATGGCTTCACCGTCCCCCGATTCCCCAACTACTGTAAAATGCACCCTCATCTACCGACGCCTCATCCCCGTCTTGAACTCACCTACCAACACAAATAACACAACAATAACATCTGGATAGAGTGAACTGGTTAGCTCTTGATAATGTAAAATATTTGGATTCTTTAAAAAAAAATATGAAGCCATTATTGTATACTAAATCTGTATCAAAAATTATGTGCACAAACACTGAAACTTTCCATGATATGTGAGCAGAGTTCAAACTTTACTTCACATCTGCCAACGTGATTAAGTAGACGTTACGGAACTGTTATACAAAAATATGAGTACAGTATTAATCTAGATGGATGGATTTACGAGCTCTGATCGAACCAACCAGTAAGAGAGGTGGAGTTATATATTCTAGAAAGGACCTTAAGAGTCAGTCAGGTTAAGTAAGATCTAAAGAATCATTGGTGTAAAATTAAACGGAGGGGGGGGGGGAAGAGACTCACAATTTAAGAAGTTGGTAGGTATGAGAACTGTGTTGTGCCATTATTAGTGTTTGTTTGCTAATAACATAAGAACATAAGAAAATAAGGAGCCTGCAATAGGCCGGTTAGCCTGTGCATGGCAGCTCCTGTCGAGTGGTTGAATTTCATAATTCTATTATTTGAAGGCAATTTCGAATCACTAGGACAGAACACATGTATTTTAGTTACATTACCTTAGGTTAAGTTGCTTGTCTAAGTTGTCATAACGGGAGTAAAAATATTGCTTATAATCAGTGTTACTATAACAGGAATCAGTATGTTGTTTCTCAGTGTTGCCAAAACATGTACTAGAGCAGTGGTTCTTAACCTTTTGAGGGTCGCGCCCCCTATAGCTGTTGGTCCTCATCTCCACGCCCTCCCCCTTCCTTTAGATAAAATTCTAAATCTAAAAATTCTTAAACAATTTCCTCTTGAATTAAATATGAAAATTGAGAAATTAGTTTTTCATTCGTTACTGTAATAACTTAATTGTTCAAAAGAGTCTGTATAAGCAACTCGTTAATACACAACATATTTAGTGAGAATACATTTAGTAAGATTTTTGACACTGCTTCTGAGCTACCAGATCCTGAATACGTGTCGCGTGCCAGAGAGATCACAGCGCAAGTCCCCTTAACGTTCAGCTTGTTTCTGTATTTGGTCTTGATAGCAAACCAGTGCAGAAAATGCGGCCTCACAAAGATACGTGAGTCCAAACATCGTCGGAATCCGAACAACTTGACGGACAGTTCCCGACATTATTACTACCTTAATTCAGTCACTTTTAGTGGAATTTTACATTTTAGTTGACGTAGTTACCATTTACGACTTTTTGAAGTATCTGTGGTGAGCGAAAATCCAAATAAGGACATACACACACACCTGTTAAAGCCATTCCTTATTTTCGCTCTGGGTTCGCGCCTCCCCTGGAAATTACTGAGGCCCCCTTAGGAGGGCGTGCCCCCCTCCCCGGTTAAGAGTCGCTGTACTAGACTATAGAGTTCCTGTTGCTATAACAGAAATGAAGTTGTTGCTTTTCTGTATTTCCTGATCAAGATTTCATAGCCGAGGTCTGACTTAACATCGAAGACCAAACTTTAATGTTCATGGAATATTCTTGCTTCAAAATCAGTTAAACGGATGAGTATATCACCACCACGGTTTTACGACCATTTCTGCAGGTTAGCAATGACTACCTGATATGCCATCAAGCAAATTTGAAATATATTTTACAACTGGATACCCTTCCTATTGCCAAAAACATCAGTAATAATAATAATAATAATAATAATAATAATAATAATAATAATAATAATAATAATAATAATAATAATAATAATAACCTTTCTTACCAGTTACACAAAAAGACCAAAATTATTTATTTTTACGTGATAACATTAAGGGTTTTAGGAGGCACCCAAACACAGTACAATATATTATTCATTTAGGCATTGATCCCCACGATGAATTATATCTATTGATCACGTATCCCCCCCCCCCCAACCCTGGACGTGCGTACAGATAAGAAATAAGTGACGGGAATGTAATTAATCATTATCCGTTTTGAAAATGTACAGGTAATTGTGCCTGTGTGTGTACTGTACTTGTACATGTACATCATTTACCTGTCTGTATTTGTACCTTTACTTGTAAATGTGCAGTACCTGTGCGTGTCTTTACATTTGTACTTTAGCTGTATTAAAGCTTGCAACTGTACCTGTACTTTTGTTTGCGCTGTTATCTGTATCTCTTCTCTTCTCTCACTGTTCCTCACGTACTACACACTGGAATCAGGCCAAAAGACAACAGATAATACTCACGTGGTATACACTTATAGCAGAGGCAGGTGATGTTGTCAGGGTACATGGTGAAGCGATGGTCATAGTTGGAGAGCTGATTGCTCACTCGAGGGTCTACCGACAGTCCCTGAGGCACCCACCTCATCTCTAGCTCAGTCACCTCGTACATGTCTGCCAGGATAAATAACAGTAGTATTTCTGGTTGTGTTACATCAGCCAGATGACAGCATTTCCTGATGGACGACGCTCTGTGTGCCCGGCGGTTATTTATGTGAAGGACGGCTTTACGCAGACAAAGAATTATGTTACCTTAAATCTTTATTCATATAAGATCTGTAGTAATATTAACTTTTGTTTTGAATCGTTACCATATATAATAATCAGTGCTGAAGTTATTTACTCAGAGATTAATAAACAGTGATTATTATTTTGAGCCACCCAAGTGTCTCATTTTAAATTTGATGCTGATTGGAATACAAAATATTAGAAATTCCCGGTTTTGAATTCGATTCATTGAATGTACTTATATTTTTTCTCTCTATGTATATACATATTTTTTCTCTCTTCGCGGGTGTATATGTACTGTGTATATGGAAGGATGGGAAGGATGCACTATAAGTGGGGATGATGGACATGCAGGAAGCAGCAATATATTATCAGTACAGATACACAACACAGTATATTTATCAACTAGTACTCACAGCTGTGTATGTCGAGTGGGCACTCCTGGACGTCGAAGGGGAACTTAGAAAACATTGTCGAACACTCCAACTCGATCTTCAGCCTGCGGGTACAGGGGTCAGGGGTCAGCCACGACCATTTATAGCAACCGAGATCACCTTGGATTAATATGAGTTACCAAGTGTAATTATAGGTCACCAGGGTAAGCTGAAGTCCATCATCGGATCTTGTATCTGACAAACAACTTCAACTGTGTGTTGTTCACCTTACATCAACCTTCCTCGTTAATCACTGCAGTAAAGAGGAGTTGTTAGATACACGACTGACAAGAAAGCTTTACTGCCCCAAGATTGATCTCAAACAATAGGAAAAGTAGAGTTTTATATTTTCAGTTGAAATATTAAAAATGAACCTGTCAAAGAGCAAACTGGATAATGTAGCAGATCCTTAATTTCATTCCAAATATTGGACTGAAAACTTGCCACTCGAGGACTGCCACGCATGGAGTTTTTACATCCTATGATTACACGTTTTATGACAGGTTAAGTAGTTTCATACCATCAATTATCAGAAAAGAAAAACCTGGTTTAAGAGAATTCAGACAAATGATGGAATCTTTTACATCTAGTGATCAACTTACAGCATGGCACATGCCATTGATTTTTTTAGTCATTTTACTGTTGAGTATTACGTCTGCATATAACGTGTTCATGTACTCAACTGGATTAATACTACTGTGTTGTAGTGTTAACTAAGTTTGACTTAATACATCCACTTATATCTAAAAAGGCTTAAAGTAACATGGAATATTTCCCTACACAGAAGATAACAACTAACAGATCTAGAAGCTCATACTGTATAACACATGACACAGATGTATGCAATTCTTTGTAAATTTACACAGCCCATGTTATGTCCAGACGAGGGGCCGCCTTTGAGTTAAGGTGACATCACGCACTAAGCAACATGACTTCATCCATAATTTCACCCACATTAACTGTACATTCTGGGAGTTAAGTTTTAAATAATACATCGGGACTGTGTTAACTGTGGAAAGTATTACACGGTGAGTAACAGTACAGAAAAAGTAACAATAAATTGTTGCTGCCGTCATAACCAGCTTTCCACTCATTTGTATGGGATGTGTTGTAGAGTAAGTGACCTGTGAGAGTAATTTATAGTTGCTTCATTTTGTGAGCATTATTTTGAGATTGTGTTACCGTGAATCAAGAATCATCATATACTTAAGTAATTATGATCTTGGAAAGGTCAATATCACATGAAAATTAGCGAGATGATTAACAAAATGGTGCCGAGTCGTCATGTTCTATATATGGCTGACTGAAACTGGTTAAATGAAAACCTTGCATGAGTCACGTGAAGATTCAGCAGAGGCCATACTTTGGTCTTGTTCAGCACACACCTCATGTGATGGTGACCCGGCAGTGTACCTGAGGTCTGTTTACATAGTAAGTTTTATTGTCTGAACAGGAACCAGTTTCGCTTGTGTCGGGCAAATAACGAACTTACAATCAGTAACTTCGGATATAACGCAACACAAAGATTTTATTTCTGACATAATTTGTCGATTAATTACATTCTTTTTATATTTACAAAGACCACTGGATCGAATAGGGTGCGAACCAGCTACTCTTAGGACAAAATGCAAGCGCTCTATCCACTCGACCATCGCACTACCCCAATATGTTCCAAGACGAAGCTCCCTGGTTCATGTCTATGCACTTAAATGGTGATCATTGTATTAACTTATGAGTTATTTACGTCGTAAGTAATAGTAATGGTAATGTTCTCTGATGGTGATCCAAACTCTAGCCTCAGTATCCAGGAAAAAATGAAGGGTTGAAAACATTAAGGGTGATTAATGTACGACCTGAGTTGGTAAAATATTGGGAGTGGCAAGCAAATGTGTGCGTGTAGGAGTGCATGAGTGTATGTTTGCGATTCTTAAGAGTTTCATCGACATTAGTCATTTGCACATTGGAATAATATATTGACATGTACACTCGCAACAAAACGTATGGGTGCATACTGTAGTGTGAACAATTTGAAACCAGTGACGATAGGTATTGGGAAAGGCGAGTTGTTCCAGCAGTATGTTGGCAGCCTGTAATCCTGCTGCGCAGCTACTATGGCCTGGTCAAGTGAAACAAACCTTTAAAAATAAGGTCGGGAAGTGATAAATAGACAGTATGAAATATGAGGAGCTCCCTGTCAACAAAATTATTTGTGATACTTGTGAATATTGCCACATTAATTTATGCTACCAAATAAACCACTCAACCTCGTCGTCCTGAGTGGTGGTGCAGCGTGGACGGCCGCTCCGAGACCTGTCCTCTGTAGCACCAGTTTCGAGGTATCGCCGAATCCATCGAATCCATCGTGCAGCGGTGTTTCTGTGGACACCAACCCTCCGGCTAATATCTGTGACGCCGAACCCTTCATTATGAAGGGCAATAATAGCTCCTCGCGTTCCCTCTGAGGTTTCCATGTCGTCTGGCATGTGTAGATCTCTACTGCTTCATATTGCCTCTGTTTTATACCCACGTTCACCGAGACCGAACCCTCGCTCATCATTCAGTCGACACAAAACAACAAACCGAAAAGAGGAAACAAACACACTGATTGTCAGCCATATGGCAACACCTAGTGGAGGGGGAGGGGTTATGAGGATACACTTACCAACCTTCCCGACATATCACAGTGTATACGTATCGTTTCGGAAGTCGTCGATCTCACCCTGCACCGATACTTTTTGGTGAGAGTGTACAAACACACGCACGCACAGCTGAGCATTCTAACAACCATTTCACAACTATATAAACCAGACCCTCCACCATCTTGACACAACCAGTCTCCCTGCTTACCCCCACTGACTTTATGCGTTAATTTGAAGTAGCAAGACGTTTGGGCAAGTGCGCCACCACCCCCATCAGTGCCGGATTTAGACCTGTGGAGGCCCATGGGCATTGGGCAGCCTCTTTGTGGAGGCCCCCCTCATTATAACTACCCAAGAGGGTGGGGCGGCGAGTGAAGCGAGCCGAAACATCTGGGAGTTCCGGGGGACGCTGTAAGACCCCCGGGAAAATACTACACGACCCAACCCCCTCCGACCGACTGTCAACAAACACAGTGCCCTGATGGCATTCGTAATGGAAGTGATAATGAAAAATATATTTTATTTTTATTTTTAATCTCAATTTCGTTATTCCACGTAGTTCATTTTTAATCAATATATGTTTGTGGAATTCTAAATATATTATTAGCAACACAAACAATAGCATTCATTAAAAATATACGGTTCATAGGAAAACCAGGTATTCATGAATTTCAAGGAGTAGCTAGCCTAATTTCTATCACGCTTCTTGCTGAACATAGTTTTACGTGGTGGAATGGATAAACATGAATTTTAAAAAATGAAAATAAAAATAATCCAAATGAATAAACAAATAAATAAAATATCGTAATATGTGGAGGCCCCCAGATTGTGGAGGCCCCTGGGCAGCTGCCCACTTTGCCCACTCCCGAACCCGGCCCTGACCCCCACTGTCCTCAACTCTTCTAACCAAAAGCCACACATCTTTTGAAAGCTCCACTCCAGGTAGGAATATTAATGTATCTCGTCTAACAATAAATATACAAAGCACTACTGTAATAACGTTCAAATAATCAAGAATAATTCTGTTAGTGACTACATTTTTAAGTGTATAAACAGGAGCTAATAACCAACACATTCCGCTACCAAGCGTATATAACTAACATAATTTTTTGATGATTCTATATTTATATCTAACTTCAGCAAGTACCTATATAATAATGTCATCGTATGGGAATTATAGTGTTGTACCTGCATGTATACATGTACACTTGTGATGTTTCTGGACAAACTTGCGAATTGGTTAAGGCACCGTATAGTAATTACTGCACCTGTTCTTTTATAAGTAAACTATTAAGTTCTGATAATTGACACCACCTGAATTTCTATTTGTTATATCTTTATGTTCTAAATGCACGAATATTTGTAATTACATATCTATTTATCAGAAAAAAAGGGAACTCGACCAGTAACGTTAGGCCTTCCCACAATATATTTACTACCCTCTACTTTCTGATTGTAACACCATACTGTACTATAATAGTTATCTCAACCAATGAACAGCTTGTGACAAAATTAGAGAAAATTGAGAGTAGGTTATTTCTGTTAAGGAAAGTCATCATCATCTCCTGGGGACGAAATAATCACGGGAAAACTTACAAATATAGCAAAAACAATTGGCGAACACTTTGGCAATACTGCTACAAACTCGCCACGAAGAATTTTTTGGAAAAAAATATAATGTTTGCCAAGACCTTCTATTTCTTCATACAGGGTATTTCATTTTACGTGTAACAAGAATTATATATGTCAATACTTTACTGTCATTAACGATTATTAATATATATTTTCTTAACGCAATTCTTGGCAACCTTCGAGTCGGGTAAAATAGAAGCTGATGACAACTTCCAGCTGCGCTTCAAAGTACAGTATAATCATCCCATAATTACACTGCATTTACTTGATTGAGCTATTACTGAATATTTCATGCTATGCAGATAACAATAATAAAGCTACGGAGGAAAAGGTAACTTTTAAAGTAAAACAAAATGACAGAAGTGACGGGAGTCAGTCAAATCTTCTTTTACATAGCACAGCAGCCAGTGACAATAGACGACCAGAGGGTATGGTTTCGGAAGCCTCGGCAAATCAGTCAAATTTGTATCGTTCAGTTGGTGTTACAGGGCAAATGTAAAGTAGTTACAAAAAAGCAACTGATACACAAAGGATTCGTGTAGTAGACTTTGGGAACTGTTATGTTAGAGATGAGCAAACTGCATTGGTAAATAGTTTAATACTCTAATATGATAATTATTTTTATATCGTCGTTACTAGATAATGGTTGAGCAGTATCCCTAAATGTGGTGAAACTGCCACCAGTCTTGCCGGGAGTGACTACAATCAGTGTGCCACTATTATGTGTAAAATGACAAAGATAATTATACAAGAATATGTTAAGGACATATGACAAATTATTACATATAGGCTTC